TTCACTCTCTCTTACTTCACCCTCTCACTTCACCCTCTCTCACTTCACCCTCTCTCACCTCACATCATCCTCTCTCACTTCACTTTTTCACTTCACCCTCTCTCACTTCACTCTCACCTCACCCTCTCTCACTTTGCCAGCTGAAAGGTGTTTGATGTGAAATGCTCAGTTCTGGAAAAACCTAGCGACTCAGAGTGGTGAGAGGAACCAGACGTCCAAAGAGTTTAATGCTATTACAGTTATTACAATAGAAGCTACAGTAACAGTTATTGCATGAAAAAGAAGCTGTTTTCCTAGATTCACAATTATGTTTTTAACATTACATATAAAAACTCAGAAAAGACATATAGATTCACTGGTGATGTTGGACAACAAATCAAACGGCTATATTTGCCTTTCATACATTGTAAAGAATACACATAACCTGTTTGACTTTGCGTCTCAGTGAGGTTTGCTGACACACTGAAATATCATTGGAACACCAGTAGAATTTGATGCATGTTTCAACTATATTCAGTAATGTTCAGGCAGATGTAAAACATGTCCGCTGAACTTGTTTATTCATTTATTTTTAACTGAGCAAGGTTTTAATAGGAAACTCTGAGGATTAGGGACAGTCATCATCAGCCTTATGAGGTCTGAGGGTGCAAAGTAAAGTCAGTGTAAAAATTAACTCACTGAATTAACCCATACAAAGTTAAACTGAATAAAATTTAACTTGTAAAAGTTAATTAAACACAGGTGTTTTTACTGAGTAAAAGAAAATTGAACCTTATTTGCAATCCTGAGAGATGGAAGGTCTTCTCTGACCTGTTTGAATGATATCAGGGGTGATGCACATATTGACCCCTACCCAAAAAAAACTCAGAAACCTTGAAGAATTGTTGAACTTATGAAGGATTTTCATTTCTGTGTCCCCAGCCTCTCTATCGCTAATCAATCGACTGACAAATCCAAGACACTTTTAGTTATAATAACTGTGAGGATTTTGTTCTCATTTAAATAAACAAATAATGTAATTACAATGAATATACAAAATATCATTCATAGCAATCACTATTAAAGCTGTTATAAATGACGTCAGTTAGAAATCAGTGCCCTCTTGCTTCATACCTAGTGGAAACTTGGCAATCATAACTAACACTGACCCACCCAAATTACAGACTCCAGTGTGTAACTGCACATATTATACTTGTCATATTATAAAAACGACAGCCCATAATTATGTTACATCATGATTTTTATAATTATGTTAATTATTGCAATTATATTGATAACAACAACTGAAGGCAACTTCAAACAAGCAGACTTTTCAAGAGTGCATTAGCAGAACAGGCCAGAAAGAAGCAGTTGATGCATAATAATAATAATAATAATAATAATAATAATAATGATGATGATGATGATTATTACTATCATCATCATCATCAGGGTAGGGATGTATCAGAATACAAATATTCAGAATACAAAAATTACGTATCTGTTTTTAGTCCACATTACATTTTTTAAAGGTAGAATTGAGAACACAATTACATTTATATTTTAGTAGAATACTTTTAGAACACTTAGCCATGAAAAACATATAATCTTCAAAAGCAGCACAAAAATTTAAAATCAGTAAACATACTTTAGAAAAACTCTAAAGAGGACCATAATTATGGCTTCTTTACAAACACTGCAATTCCTGCTAAAGCCTAAGTAGATTAATAAATCAATGTGATGATCAGTTATTAATCTCAGTGTTACTGAGCTCTGCTAAAGCCTGAGTAGACTGATAAATCAATGTGATGATCAGTTAATAATCTCAGTGTTACTGAGCTCTGCTAAAGCCTGAGTAGACTGATAAATCAATGTGATGATCAGATCAGTTATTAATCTCAGTGTTACTGAGCTCTGCTGAAGCCTGAGTAGACTGATTCTATGTGTTATCAAGGGGTATTTTAAATGTATTCTAAATGTATTCTGAATATTTTATCTTTATGCATTGTAATGAAATACATCACTGAATACAGTATTCAGCCATCACTAATTATTCTAAATATTTTGCATAACCCTGATAACAGTAATAATAGTCTGTAGTGCACAAATGACTGGCATTTAGATATTTTGAGTAACATTTTGAGTTCTTGTGTCTATTGTCATATGCCCAATGCCAGGCTAATTTTCCAGAGCTAGACTAAGCCTAATCTTAAGGTTGATTTCTAATGGTGATTTATCATTAGCACTGATGTTTAATCCAAGACTAAAGTAGACTTGATCCATGCCCAGGAAACTAGTTCTTTATGTTTCATTCCTCGACCCTAATTTCCAATTACTGAGGCAGCAACGTCAAGCTCATCAGCAGGGATGGACTGGGCATCAGAAGGGCCGGGACAGTTCCCAGTGGGCCGCCATGCTTTCGGGCCGCTGAGAGAGCGAAAGAGAAACTGCCTTAACGTATTCGCCCAGCACATGTGCTGCACTGTTCTTTCTAATCAAGTATCATATAAAAGGAATGGAGACCATCCGAAGCGATTGTACTGGTCTGGTCTAGACAAAAGCCCAAGGCTGAATTTAGCTTCCAGTCCAGCCCTGCAGTGCAGTACACTTTATTTGGTGGTGCTCACGCTGATCATCAAGTGCTCAACTGTAAGACACAGCTGTGACTCTGTGACTCAGATCATGGTATCATTAAAAAACAGTACATGTATAAGGGGAATCTGAGGGCTCTTGCTGAAAGGTAGGTTGAGCTGAGGTGAGGACGGATGAGGGGAATTCCAGCAGCAGGCTGAGGGAACATGTGGCTCCTCAGACCAGGGACACGGGACACGCCCCTTTGTTTGACTGTAAAACATTGTCTTACGCACGAGTTAATATGTAGACTGTTCAATGACCCATTAAATGTCTGTGCTAGAGCACACAGAATCACAAAGACCTGTATGAAGTCACAGCTTCAATATCAAATCAAATCAAAGTGTTTCCTGCTGTGTGTGTTTGAATAACAGTCCTTCCATGTGGATTTTGCACGCGCATGTGTTTGAGATATCTTAACTCTATTCACCAAAAGTCCCCAGTGTTTAGGCTGCGACTGAAACCACATATTATACTATACTATACTATACCATACTATACCATACTCTACGCTTAAAAATGGTTCTTCAAGGGTTCTTTAGTAAAGACAGTGGTTCTATTTGAGTCATGAGTTCCGCACAACAATTTGCATGCTTAAATGGTTCTTTGCATGGTGAAATGGTTTTTAAGACTGCAAACGGTTCCATATAGAACTTGTTGACTCTTGTTGCAAGCTAGTCATCATTAACAATGGCAAAACTCGTTTTGATGCTATATAGAACCACTTTGAAAAAAGATCCTAGATAGATCCATTTACAACACATTCTCTATCAATCTGGAGAACCATGTCACCACATAAAGAACCACTTAAGCATGAATTGGTTCTATACAGATCTCATATTTCTAAGAACAATTGCCTTTACCAGAGAAGCCTTGAAGAACCTGCTTTTTCTGTGTGTGTGCTATGCAGGCCATTAAGTTCAAGTTACTCATTTTTCAGGATATTTCTGAGAAGATTAGATATAAAATAATCCACTTGCATAAGGAAGAAGAATATTAGAGAAAAATAAGGCAAAAAAGAGGTTTTCAAGAAAAATGGATGGGAAATGAGATTATTTGAGTCATGAGATGCAGAAAATGCAACCAACTTTTAAGACTGAACTTTGGAGGTGTGAAAACATGTCTCTGCAGATGACTTGGAGAAAATGAGTGTGAAAGCATTAATTATTTTAAAAATCGTTATTATCTTTAGTTGTAGCTTCTTTATGCTGAGAAATGAACTTAATGCTTGTTTTGACTGAAAGTCAAATTTAAAAAGAGTGACTTTTATATATACAGTCGCATGGAAAGGTTTGAACACCACCAATCGTGTTTTGTTGATTTTCTAAGTAAAAATAAGTTGGTTAAAAGGTCTAGGAAAACTGTTTTTATTGTATGCATTTACAGTCATATGCAAAAGTTTGGGCTCCCCTGGTCAAATTACAGGCTGTTTTGGTTATTTCAGTAAAACAAATACACATCCTTTACAGAGTATATATCCTATAGACATTTTAAAGACCCATATCCTACATTTCTTTTTTGTTTTTGTTCTACTGAGATCTACTCAGTAGTACACACATTTGTGTGGCTTTATGTACCAAAAAAACAGTCACTCATTTTACATGACCATTTTCCAATTTGTCCTCCACAGGGAACAACCTTAAAATGGCATTGTCTGCAAATTTTAGTGCACGATTTCTGTTTATGTGCTGAGTTTAGCATATTGGGAAAAATAAAACAGAAAATGTGCCATAACTTTGCACAGGCAACATTTTATGTTTTTATTTGTGCCAGAACTTTTGCATAAGACTGCATTAAATGATTATTTGGTGTTGAAGTAACACCTATTGTGTTTGTTCAAGTCCACCATAAAAATGAACCCTACAAGTGGTCATTCAACACTGGGGATTTTGCTGTGTGGAAACTACAGAATACGTTTGAGTGCTTGTGATGAAGGGCTGTGCCCAGCATGTCTTCACTGGGCTAAAAGCCAGCTCAAGCTGCAGTATCCCAACACACCACCCTCATCCACTATCACAGCCCAAAGTCTTCAGCACCTGGATTCTTCTAAGACGAGCTATATTTCACCTGCAGGTTATTTGCACTGCACAGCAAACTCTGCAGTGATGAATGATGTCTTACTGTGTTTATTCATGTCCAGCTGCACTAAAACAAATACTGTATCTACTCATTCAACACCAGGGATTTTGCTGTGAGTCATTCATTCGCTTGTAACATCTACAGTGGCTTTTGTTGTGTCTCATGCCATTATTCATAGTAGCCCTTCAGATTTGCAAAAGACAAATAAGTGATTTTCAATTGAAAAGGTGAGTCATTAGGCTATTGGAACCTGAAGGGTCATTAACACCTTTTAATCGGTTGGGTGAAAGTCGAGTGAACCACATGACAGATTTACGAAAAAATATTCATTTTATTGTGGAAAAAAAGAACAATTTGTTCATCACTGACAATAACAAAAAAATTCCAGCTGTTTGAAACTGATAAAACATGTCTTGATATTTATGGAAAAAATACCTCACCATTGTAAAAAAACTGTAATTGTGAGTTTTATAGTTTTGTATAAAAAAAACACTACGATGAGATGAAAGTTGTAATCAAAAGCATTTCATGACACTTTACATACAGTCATTGGACAAAGTGCTTTTAAAGGTAACACAGCTCAGCGCTCGATGATTCCCTCCTGAAGTAGAAGTCGTCCCCGAAGGTCGGGTAAAAACAGTCTGAAGAGCTGTAAGCTGAGTATTCTGAGGCTGTTCCAGCGTCCTGCAGCGCGGGCCAGTGGCAAAAGCCGCGCTGCAGGTCACAGTGCTGGTAGTGGCAGCTCTCAGGAGCAAAACTGGAGCTCAGGTCCAGCCGTGATGGAGAGCTGTAGCACGAGGAAGAGGAGGAGTGAGACTCAGGAGGGGAGTAGCTGTTGTAATCTGCTGGACTGGGCAGGTTGAAGGAGTGTGTTGGTGAGCTGGAAGCCTGGAAAGCAAGAGAAGGTGGTCACGTTAGAACAGAGGTTTAAGTGAGTTCTAGTAAAGTTCTAGTAAAAAAACTTTTTTTTATTGTGTACACTTTTAGTCCTTTGTCAAATTTCAGGTTGTGTTGATTTTCTAATCTAATTAAATGTACCAGAAAACAGCCGTGATTCTTCTTACATGAGCGTTTTTCAATCTCTCTTCATCCCTTACAATTAAACAGGCTGTTGTTGTTATTGTGCCGTTAAGACTGATATATAGCATCAACCTTTTTTCTGATTGGCTGCCATCTGTAAGGTGAAACACTCCTTATAACTTCAACAGGAATGGGTGGAGCTAAACTGCTGTGGATTGAACAGTCAGATGTATGTAGATGTATATGTTTTTGATGATGTCAAAAAAACAGCAGTTTACTTTCTATTTATGGATGGTTTAGAAGGGGAAGCGAGAAGTGGGAGGTGAGTGGCACATTTTGAAATTTTAACAGTGTTTATATGCCACATCAAACTATTTTATTTCAAAAATAAGGGAGAAAAATGTTTTTTTCACACTCACAACTTTTTTAATAAAGAACTATTCCCTTCCTGAAAGCTATAAAAACAATTCTGATGCATTGATCCTTGAACGGTTTTCAACTAAAGCTCCATAATCTACTGTGGAGAATTAGTCAAATGCTAAAGTGTATGTGTTCATATGCATATTTATGCATAACCCAATAAAATGTCATTCACAAAAAAGAACCATTCACTCAAAGGTTCATGTAAAAGGTCCCTAAGAAATGAGCTCATCACAACCTTGTTATAAGGTCAAATGACAAAGTAGAAGCATAAAATCCAACTAAACTTTGGAGGACACTGCAAAAACCCTTCAGACGTTTTTGGTCATTATAACTGTGAGCTGTTTTAGTGGAGGTTGATGTATTACTTGAGTTTTAATGAACTCTACATTTTAAAGCAACCCAGTTATACTTATATAGATGTAGTTGAATACCATAGACGAACCATTTCTCTCTAAAGAAACATGATTGAAAAAGAGATTTGTGAGTGTGAAGAAGCTTTTAAACATTTAAATAACTAAAACCTTTACATGCAGTGGGGGTTCTTCACTTCATGTAAGGTTCGTGTAAGGTAAAGGCTCTTCACTCTCACACATCTAATTTGTTAAAGAACCATCCATAGAGTTCTATAGGTAACCAGAAGTGGTTCTTCTATGGTATCACTCCCTTTTTTCACCTATTGTTTTTTATATAAAGGCAGTCCAGATCAAAATGTCAAATCACAAAGCAGAAGCAATAGAATGTAAAGTGTCAAGCCAATTCAAGTCATCAGCTGTGTTTTAGTGGCTGCTGAGTTGTTACTTGGGTTTCAATCAACTCACCACTTTAAGGCAATACTCTTAATAAAGAGTTGCCACAAAATGTTCTTGGAGTGACACCACAGAAGAACGTCTTCTGGTTCCTCAAGAACCATGGGCCTCATCCACCAATATCTAAGTTTTTTCTTAAATGTGTTCTTGAGAAAAGTCCTAAGAGAAAGTCTATGTCAGATTCATGACAACCTTTTTTGAAGTTCAAAGAACATCCATATGATGTAAAGGTTCTAGGAAGAACCAATAAATTGGTATAGAACCTTCGCATTTTGTGAAGAACCCATAGGAAGGAAGAACCCATAAATTGGTATAGAACCTTCACATTTTGTGAAGAACCCATAGGAAGGAAGAACCCGAGAAAGAACCCCTAAATTGGTATAGAAACCTTTACATTTTGTGAAGGTTCTATACCAATTTATGGGCTCCTCCTTGAACCTTTACATCATGTGGATGTTCTTTGAACTTCAAAAATAGATTCTCCACACTCACAACTTGCTTTTGCAAGAATGGTTCTCCAAGATCTATCCATCAAAAAAAGGTTCTCTAGGGTTTAATTAGCACCTCTGAGCCTCCAAGCAGTTGAGGGCACTTTAACTCTAAGAAACTCTTGCTTATTCCAATTCCAGCTGATGCTTGTATTGACATATATACTTAAGCACTCTTTTACTGTGAGTAAATTCTTTCACTATATTAAGTATAATCTTAGCACATCCTAATGAAGCTGCTCATTAAGTGACCTACACTGAACTATGTGAAGCTGAGCTAATTAAATTTCAGGTGCTGTACATAAAACCTGTCTCCACTCGAGCAGATCATGTTTTATAGCATAGCTGAGGAGCTCATACGCACTAAGGTGTTGCTGTAGTAGTCCGTGCATGCAGGGATGTATCCATCCATCCACGCTGCAGGGCTGCACATGGTGCTGCTGCTGGCGTTCAAACCCTCAGACGGCATCACGCTCATCAGGAAGTGCTGATCAAACGTGTCCTCCATGGAGACATGCCCGTTGTTTGCAAAGTGCCGAGGCTGGAAATAGGCGTCTGGCGCCGAGCTCGCGGGAAAAGCGTCTCCGTGGGCTGCTGGGGAGATGGAGAGAGGACAATTCAGCACTGGAGGGCGTTTGAATTATAGGAAAGACTTGAGATGATGTCACGGCAGCGACAGCCAACAGCTAAATCACATTTGAATAGAAGTTTATAAAAAGGAGCCCATGGACATAGTAAGGAGCCCCTGATTAGTCTGTACTGTGTCTGTTCTTTGTTTTGTTCCGGAGGTCTTACTCAATAGTTCCGCGAGCCCATCGATGAAACTGAGCTCATGTTGGAGTTAGTAAGTGTGCGGATTTTGCTTTCATTGGGGGTCAGCTCTGTACTGCTTAACCTGTTCACCAGCTTCAGTAAGCATGCTGTTTGCTGTGAGTTACAGTCTCTAATGCTTCTGTGTGTGGTTAAGCGCTGTTCACGCTGCTGTTTAGACTGGAGTGAACGCGCTGATGTGAACCTACCAGGCAGCGGAGCGGGACAGGCGTCCGGAGAGGGCAGAGCGTGCGGCTTCTGGATGGGTCCGTGGGGGAGGGGCGAGCAGAGAGAGAGAGAGAGAGAGAGAGACAGAGAGACATGCCGTTTAGCCTATTCAACTTGTTGACATGCATAACAATAATGGCACTGTAAATAAACGACACTATGCCGCTGCAGCGCTCAGTGAATGGAGTGAAGGCGTGTCAGCTACTTTTACTCATGAGTCAGAGCGCCTGAGCGCTGAGGGCTGTGAGAGAGCAGCACTGCCTTCTCAACACCTTTCACATTTCTTACCCTCGATTCTGCTGCCTGAAGGGCTCTGCGCTTCTGCAGCAGCTCCTTCACGGTGGTCTTCACCCGCACACCCTGGTACACTTTAGGCTTGTCTGCATAGAGGCAAAAAGTCCTTTCAGTAAAGCCATGTGTGTGTGTGTGTGTATATTATATATATATATATATATATATATATATATATATATATACATATATATATTGTGTTTTATATATAAGAAAATATGAAAATAGGTGAACACCCTCTTCATCCTATATAAGGAACACAGGGAACACAAATTCTCTTTATTTGCTAAATTTAACATATTAGTTGGGGAAAAATAAATAAAACGAGCCAGAACGTTTGCACAGCTTATTGTTTCCACTATGTTAAATTTCAAAATTCAGCAAACAGTAGCTGTGTATTAAATATAGTACATATTATATTGCCTGAAACATTGTGTATAGGCTATTTGATGTATGATCAATGGCAATGGAGGAATGGTTATCGATGGTACTAGTACAGAACCATGAGGAACACTCTAAGAACCATTTGAATGCTTTAATTCTTCTCTCTGATAGGAACCCTGTTGTACAGGGTTCTCTAAAGAACCTTATAAAAATGGATGTGTATAGCACCAGAAAGGGTTCTGTTAATGCTACAAGTCATAGACCCATTTTCGGAACTATATAGAACCATTTTTAAGAGTATTTATTTATTTGTTTGTTGGTTTTTTATTTATTCATGCTTGTGCACAGTTCTAGCACGGCTTTTTCTCGACATGCAGTGAAACACTGAAATGGTTAAAATCGTTAAATGAAAGCTTTAACCGACGGGCTCCACTGTTTGGCGGTGGTCTCCCGTGGTCTCCCTCTCTCTCTCCCCCTTTCTCTATCTCTGGGGCTCTCGGGCTGCGGTAGTTTCCTGCAGAGCCGGTAGTGAGCGGGTTATTACCGCTACAGGCGGTGGAGAAACGCAGCCCCGGCGAGAAAAGCTCTTTCCCCGCGTTCCACAGCGAAATGTGACTTTAACAGCTCAGTTTACGGGATAAAGTCCTCTCGGAGCGGGAGACTCAGAGCTGTGTGTGTTATGAGGCTGTGTTTGAGTTTAGCCGCGCAGCCGCCCGGAAACAGAGCAAAATACCGCGACTCGGAGAGCAGAGACGGAACAGCGGCGGGGGGAAATCTCTCCAGAGTTAAAGAGTAAGTAGAATCTTAAACTCTGTAAAAAGAGAGAGCCGAGTGAGAAAAGCGCGTTAAAAAGAACAGCGTTAAACTGAACCGAGTAAAACAGAACAGAGCCGAATCAGTGCAGCGTCGCGTGAAGCGCGTCTTTGTGCTGCGAGTGTCGGTCTCCACACTGTAGAACATACAGTAACACATAGAACTCCTACTCGCTGTATAAAAGTCCCCTAACGCCTGGATTAAAGTCTGCAGTGTAAACGCGCAAAAATATATAACTTAATTTTTTTACGAATAAAAAGTAGAAATGTTCGTCCTGATCGAAACGCAGGAAGCAGCCAGATGTTTCAGAAAAAAAGGTAAAAGCCGCTGGAACAGTGGAAGAGCGTTAAAGTCGTGGATGTTTTGTTTTGTTTTTTTTTTTCATTGGCTGCGTGGTGGAAATTCAGTGGGTCGAAATTAAGTGGGCGTCTTCCTGATACTGAAAAATGTGTCTAAAATTTCACACGATGGAAGAAAAAAGAGAGAGAAAATGGCTGCAGTAAGAACAACGCCACGCCATGGCTGAGCCTGTACAGGCAGAGACAGAGAGAGACAGAGAGCAGCAGTGCTCAGCCTTCTGGAGTTCAGGTTCGGCTCCGAGCGGTTCTGTTGAGCACTCAGAAAACCCACTCACACCATTCTGACTCACACAACGCTGGAAACAACTCTGATCCCTCAACTCTCATTAAACACTGTCAGAGGCAGCAGATGAACCGACTGAGCGCATTTCTCCTCAGCTAAATATGCACAGACATTCAGAGAGGCTCTCTATTTCAAATATAACGGCTTCTATTAACATTTCAGTCTGAAATCCAGACAAAACAAAAGCGAGGTTAAAAACACGGGCTCGTGAAACGCCCTCGTGCTGCTGATCACAGCCTGCCAGTCAAAAATATAGACTGGAAATATTCTTAAAACCTACAAAAAAACCCCAAAACTCACTTTATTTTACTCTTGCACTTGAAGTTAAAGTCTGGAAGAGAAGTTGGGCGCCTGTTTTCTGTGCAGCAGCCCGTCTGTCTGAAGCTCAGAGCCCTTTGCCTGCTGTGTGAACCATGAATTTACTCATCCAATGCAGTCGTTTCTAATTTAGTCTCCCCTTTCTATGTGTTCCAGGTCCCTCAAGACTCGAAGAAGGAGAAGAAAAAGGCAAAGAAAGTGTACTCACCAGACATTTTGGCGTGAAGAAGAAGATGAAGTTCAGACAAACAGCCCAAACGCCTGTTCCTGGCTCTGTTATATGGGCAAGAACGAATTATTCATAAAAGTCTGCCAAAGTCTCAACAAAAAAGTCCTCCAACACTCTCACCATATACAATAATATAGGAATATAGCTGGGGATGCATTAGTTTGAGTTTTTCTGCCCTCATCCCTACTATTTAAATCCCCAAGAAGTCCATGATTTGACAATGATTTGATTGCGCGATACTTTCAATTTGAATATTCAAAGACTTCGCAAAAATACTTATATCTTAGTGAAAATCGCGATTCGAGTGCATCAAACAACATCCCCCATAACAGAATATCATGCTATTTCACACTTTGGACAAAAAAATAAAATATATTTTAACATTTTAGCATCCTTTTGATATTGCAGCTTAGAGTCCTGCTGTAAGGCTCTGTTTCCACTTTAGAGCGAGTTGAGACCCTCAAAACACACCTCACACCACTTTTTACAGCACACTTACACTCTACAGTGGATGTCAGTGTGTAAAAAGCGCACATATGACGATCTGAGGCCTAATTTTAATCAATTTTTATGAAATATAGGAGTAGTGGGCGTGGCATATGGTAGCAGCCATTTTTGCCATGAGAGCATTTGGAGCTTGAAGGTCTGTGTCTGCCATGCACTGCCCCATGTGTCAGCTACACACCGAGCACACACAGACAGGAGCATCTGATAGCATTAATTCATATTTATCAGAGAAAATTACCTTATTTATAATATACTTTTTGGAATATTTTGTAAAAAAAATCCTCACTTCTTCTCCTGCTTTCCTGACAGCAGTGATGAAGTCCAAACTTTTGGACATTCCAAAACTAACAGTGACTCCATTCTTTCCAGCAAGTAAGGACAGTTTTATAAGCGTATAAACAAGTTTGATAAAAGTTGAGGGCTCATGTTAAATTTGGTAATAGGACATCCTGTTTTTTTTGTTTTTTTTTCATATGGAGAAATAAACATGCAATGTTTGACCAAATTTCTTCAGAACCGGCCAAAAAAAGTTAAACTTATAATAAGATTGGCTGCATTAAAATTTTGAAATGATTGAATTTAACAGGAGACGAATTTTATTTAGCTCAAAATTGTATTTATTTTTTAATTAAAGCGTTTATTTTTAAAACGGTACATAAATAAATAGCATAAAATATGTATAGATGCACAAACAAACGAGACATAAGTAACAGCAATGATATGTCTTTTTTATTTATGCCTTGAAGAGTTTTTTTTCTCAACCAAATTTGACCAAATTTTGCACCAAATTTCATCCTATTTAACGTTAAATTGTGTGCCTTATCATTTTTCGTTTTATTTAATGTATTCACATATTTGGCTGTATTTTTGTATTTATGTGCATTTATTTTAGAGATGCGCTGAGTTATGAAGGACTCAGAGTTTCCTCTCAGCTTTTGCTTCAGGGAAGCTCCACCTCCAGTACTCTTATTTGGAAGTGATCCACCAAAAACTGTTCATAGTTCTTGCTAATTTTGTCGAGGCTGAGAGGCTGAATCAATGACGCTCTTCCAGCATCTACTTAGCGGATCATCACTGAGATGCTGCACACAATAAAAACGACTAAATATCTGTTTCTTTTGCGTTTCTCAGCTTCTTCAGAGCAGCGCTCTACGTGTGTTCTGGCCCTGTGTCGCCACCATGTGGCCTAAACGTGTACTAAACACTTTAAAAAGATGGTCTTCAAGGGTTCTTTAGTAAAGGGTTCTTTAACCATTTGCAGGCTTAAATGGGTCTTTGCATGGTGAAATGGTTCTTCAGACTGGTGGAGAATGTGCTGTATATGGTTCTATATACCTCCAAAAAAAGGTGCTTCTGTTGTTACAACGATAGCAGAACTTTTTTTTGGTGCTTTATAGAACCATTTTTTTTTTCAAAACAGTTATATATAGAACTATATACAACACATTCTCCATCAATCTAAACAGCCATTTCACCATGCAAAGAACATTTAAGCCTGCAAATGGTTCTATATAGAACTAATGGTTCTAAATAAACCATCGACCAAATATGCCCTTATATGCCTTTATAAAAGAACCCTTGAAGAACCATCTTCTTTCAGTGTGTAAAGAGGAACCATTTGACCATGCAAAGAACCACTTATGCATTCAAATGGTTCTATATAGAACCTTTGCCTTTACTAAGTAACCCTTGAAGAATCATTTTTAAAGAGTGCAGGGCACTGCCCAAAATTTCAAAAAGTTATTTTTATCCTTAACCTCTGGAACTCCAGGCTTATTAGTTGGATATTTTCTAATAACTACTACAAATTATCCTGCTGTGTAACTATTATCACAGTTCAACAACAAAAACAAAAATCTTTAAAATGATAACTTTACAAAAGAAAGCAAAAACGTTTAAACTTTAAACACAAGTTATTATAAAAAGAAAAATAAAATTGGAGCATTGCCATTGGCCCAAAGTTTCACACAGTGTAAAGAGTCACTGAGGTGTTCAAAGATGATGCACTGAAATGCACTTCATTTGATGTGTATTTATTTATTTGTACAGAAGCAATATAAGTTCTCTAGTAAAGTGAAGAACCTAAACATGAACAGTCATCCCAGCCTGCTGCACTGATGCCCCCTCATGTTTACACACCAGGTGGCTTATATTTCATTAGATGAATATTTCTCTGTTTAAAAAAGAAAATAAGCTACAGTGGATTGCAAAGTACAATCGAGTCTTATTTATATTGATATATCAGAGAAATATATCAGCACACACTTAAACAATAATAGTGCCAAAAATGGATCTTTGGAGTGATGACTTTTGGTTCCCTAAAGAACATTTCACAGGAAGAACTATTTTTGTAACTGAGATGTGTGAACATAAAGAACCTTTTTAAAGAACCTGCATATAATTAAAGGTTTTATATTTGTCCTGAAATCATACATTGTCAAGACAAGAGCCACTTTATTTTTAAAGGAGAATTGCACTGATTTAAAAAACAGCAAAATTCAATCACTGAGACGTAAACAAAGTCATTCTGAGTGGTTTAATGTGAAAAGGGTCATTATATAAAAATTTCCCAGCTCTGATTTTCATTACAATAGTGGTGATTGGGAACCAGAGGTCATAATATCTACAATGTAAATGGCTGTGAACCAGTGAACCTACATGCCTTCTGAGTTTTTATATGTAATACCCATAGTAAAATAGCAGAGAATGTGAAAAGGGGTACTATTTTGCCTCACAACACCCTGAATACATCTCTCTACCATTCATAATGCTATTATATAATTATGTTTTAGGCCAAAACCTTCTCAAAATATCGTCTAAGGCAACATTCACAACAATTTCATTCATTACAGCTTTCCGTGAGGGAGCTTTTAGAACCACTAAGCTGTTCAGACGTCCGGCTCCCATCACCACTACTGTGAACAATTCTGTCATGGCAAGTTAATTTGTGCATTTAACATCAAATCACTCTGAATAACTTAAAAATTAAATTAAGTACACTCTTAAAAAGATGGTTCCTCAAGCGTTCTTTAGAAAAAAAAAATGGTTCTGTTCAGAACCAGTTCATGCTATTTGGTTCAATCAGATTGATGGAGAATTTGTTTTATATGGTTCTGTATAGAACTCATGGTATGGCACTAAAAAGGGTCCTTCTATTGTTACAAGCTTGATATTGTAACAACAGCAGAACCACTGTCAAAAAGATTCACCATGCAAAGAACCATTTAAGCATGAAATGGTGCAATATAGAACTCATGGTTTTAAACAGAACCAATCCCTTTACTCAAAGAGCCATCTTTTTTTAAGAGTGTAGACATACTGAAAAAACATTTCCCTTTAAGAATTTAGGCTGTGACCAGGTGCCAGTGGCATCCTCTTTGGCCTATGGGATCGTCTCGTTCAGGGCTGAAGGGTCATTCTCAGTCTCTTCTGTGGACAGGGCTGGCATTTTGGCTGCAGATTCGCTGGACGCGGTCATGTATGAGGGGCACGTGTAGCTGCTGGCCGTGGGCTGAAAGGACGAGTGATACTGAACGTCCTCCAGGGTGTGCAGGGAGTAGAACTGAGGCATGCTGGAGCTCCTGGAGGATGAGCGGTACTGGCTGGGGCTGGACGGCTCCGAGCCAGTCAGGGAGCTGGTCACCGGCGCGGGAGCCAAGTCAGCCCCGCACAGACCCTCCACTGCCTCCGTCCCAGCCTGCTCCCAGGAATCCCTCTGCAGAGCACACAAACAACACTCAGATTCTTTACCGTGAGCTTCAGCTCAGACTGTAGGACAGTCAAGATCTTATCACAGGAGAAAATGACAGTTTAGCCTGTAGTACCAGGCTGATTGCATCTCTTTGTTCTAAAGGACATTGGAGAACGTTATGTGGAGGTACGTATGGAGAGGACACAAGCTGAGAAAAGAACAGAAGAGTACAGAAAAACACAATGATCTAATAGTTTTTAATCACTGTGTTAGAGCTGAGTTTATGGCATATAACTATGATTTGTAACTATAAGTAGAATGTAGAATGGGCTTACTGTCCATGCTAAGTGGAAATTCCTGATATACTCTTTGAAAACAAAGGTGCCAAAAATTTTTTTTTTTGAGGAATGCAATGGAAGAACCATTGTTGGTTCATTAAACATTTAAAGCAATGCTCTTTAAAGAGAATGAAGAGTTCTTTAATGTTTTCAGAACTTCTTCATAACGTAAAGGTTCATTATCAAGTTTTCATTATCTAGAACTATGTGTCCAAGCCAAGAACCTTTGGAGAACCTTTATTTTTAAGAATATGTGATCATTAACCTAACAGACACAATGCATTCTAGCCTATTTTTAGGTTTTAACCTCTTTAACTCTAGGCTATTTATTACGTTATTATTTAGTAATTACTGTGAATTACAAAGTAACTTCTATGAAAATAACAGAAATAAAAGCACCAGAAAGGATTTTAGAGTGATACCATAGAAGAACTACTCTTCTGGATGGATCCTCTTGAGATGTGATCATGAAGAACCTTTTAGGAACCTGTTTTAGAGTCTAACCCCAATTATTCTGTTATTACTGTTAAAGCTTATTACCTATTTTTTCCTATGC